CATTTTCAAGCTACTGCCACAGATTATCTTGGTATATTCAATATCCTTGTGGTAGGGCCCAAACACCTATACCACACAAATGATGTGAATGGCAGATAAGAATTACCATATTTGTCAATACAGTCTAAGGATTTATTTTTAAGTCTCTAAGAATGCTTTAACTATATATATATATATATTTTTTTGTTTTGTTTTGTTTTGTTTTGTTTTTGTTTTGTTTTTTGTTTTTTTTTCCTGGTACCAAGAATCGAACTCATGACCTTGCGCTTGCCAGGCAGGTGCTGTGCCACTGAGCTAAATCCCCAGCCCCCGCTTTAACAATATATTAAGGAAAGTGTCAGGACAAATAAGATACCGTTTCTACTTGAAACACATCCAGTATGTTGTGCAGTGGTGAAGGGTCTTCAGTAGGTGGTTAAGTTGAAGAAACTGCAGATTGCTGCACGGACAGCTGCTGCTACTACTGTTTCCTGTTTGCAGTCATTTGTTAGACGTAGCTTCATAAAACAGTCTTTCATAAAAATGATGTATTCAGAAGTGAGGAGATGGTCATATTGGTATGAATGGTAATGAACACTCTTACTTGCTAAGGTAGGCGTAGATCTATTCAAAATGCTTATCTTTACAGAAAGAAAGATTTTACAACACATACCATAAATCAGTAACCAGTAAAAACAGTAACCTTGACCTATTTACCTTTAATTGTGAACATGAAGGTAACTCTTTCACAATGGAAACTTTAAAATGTACTCAGGGTTTTAAAGCTGACATAACAGACACAGTTCATTTTCAGAGAAAATCTCTTCTGGGCTCCTGACAAAATCATGAACTACCCCACAGCAAGCTCAGAGAACCTAATACATCAACTTTGCAACATTTTATTTTACCATAAGAAAGACTTAAGATTGCTTCTTATGCTGTAAACTCTTGTGTTTTTTTTTTGTTTTGTTTTGTTTTGTTTTTGTTAAACAACAAAAAAAGGGTTGGGTTTTTGAGTTATTTGTTTTGTTTTGTTGTCTGGGGATCAAACCCCAGGTCTCAAATATTTCAGGCAAGTGCTCTAACTGCTTAGCTACATTCCCAGGCCCAAAAGCAATTATTTTGAATATTTAGAGGTATTGTCTAGAAAAACACACCAAGTATTTTGTTTTGTTTTGTTTTTTCCTTTTTCTGTTTTTCTTCCAGTACCAGGAATCGAACTCATGACCTTGTACTTGCCAGGCAGGCGCTTTGCCACTGAGCTAAATCCCCAGCCCCACCAAGTATTATAGTTCCAAATAGGGTCAAACTATATTAGGTGAGGGGTCATATGTCATGGTATCTTAGTTACTTTTCTCATTGCTGAGACAAAATACCTGACACCCAAAGTTAATGGGAGAAAGGTTTATTTAGCTCACAGTTTGTAGAGGTTTCAGTCCATAATCAGTTGGCTCCAAGGCAGGGTGGCTTGGCAGAGGGACATTGCAGAGGAGAAACAGTTCATGGCAAGCAGAAGACAGCAAAAACAAGCAAGGGATGACCACAGCTCTTCCTGTCCTTTGCATCTTATCCAGGCTACTTAGGGCAGGGAGCACTGACACCCTTAATCCTAGTGTCTTTGAGCCTAGCATAGCACCATGAATCAGTTCCAGCACCTCACACTGTAGATCCAGCCACCTCTGAGAAAGCCCCGCCTATGACCACATATGACTTTGGGGAGACATCTAGACACTAGACATAAGCCATAACACTTGGCTTATTGTTTGTGCTCTCATCAACTCACAATCTGCTTCCCTTTGCTGAAAACTGATTCACAGAAAGCCTTTCTGCAGCAATACTTATTAGCTTTCCAAGTAAATTTCAATTAGGAGTTTGCTCCAGTAGCTTATTAGGCCTTTAATAGCTTTAATTATACTCTTCATGCCTCTTGAATTAAGAAATGGGAATTTTACAGGCATAGGAAAACCCTAAACCAATGTTTGATTCTTAGAAGCGCGGTACTAGCATTACTTAGAAGGAGCAGTAAGTCAGAAACTCTAGCAAGGCAGAAAGCAGAATGGTCTGTTCTGTTACTTGTAATGTAGAATAAAGTGTAAATCACATACTACTCTAAGGTGGAACAGAAGTTCCTTTTTCAGATCAGTCAGTCATTTAACGTTAGGCAGAAATTTTAAGTTGGAGAATATTTAGATTCCATACAGTGCTCTACATTAAAATATGCAGAGCTGAGTATATAGTTAACATGAGGAAAATTATCCCAAGAACTAGGGATGTTATGGGTATTAGGGAAATATTAAATGTTGGAAATTATGCATTTTGTGAGACAAAGTGGTAGAGTGATCTTCTGTTCCCTTTGTATTAGGCCTTTGTATGCCAATATTGTCTGGATTGATTGGGGTTGCTTTGCAAGGCTGCTTAAAAAGTCTTTTTTCTCTAGAGCTTGCTAATGAGCATGATGGAAATTTCTGTAGTTCTTGCCTCTTGAAAGTTATTTTTTGAAAAATGAACCATTTAATTCCTGGCTTCTTTTCTGAAAATTGAGATCTTGAAGATTTAAAGAGGTTAAAATACTTTCTTCATTCATAGGAGAAGTAATGGAAGGTTAAAAATAAGATGATCCCATTGCGTTAATAAAAGCAGGGTCAAATAAATATATTCCCTCATTGGGCAATTTCCTTCTCAAAATTAACATGGGTTACTGAATTCAATTAGTATTCAGCCATCAAGTTTAGAAAAAATATTGAATGAAAAATATTTGCATGGAAATCACTTGGAATAGTTATTGTAGGAGTTGCAGTAAAAAGCTAGAGCATATGTGATTTTTTTTTATAGTGAAGAGTTTCCAGTTATTTTGTTGCGATCAGAACAAAAACTGAACTAGATTATTCAGTTTTATCAAGTATACAAAATATACTTGTGATTATAGGCCTGTAGGACACATTAACTGCTTTCTGATCCTTTTTCCTCCTCAAACATTATATATATTTTCCTTAAATTCATCTTCAAAACATAAATGTTTTTCATAATTCCCTTATATCTACAAAGATTTATTCTAAATTGTGTTTAATCTCTGTTATTTTAGATTCCCTTCAAGAAAATCTCTGTATATTTGCAATTGAACCAAAAGAATAAACAATTTCATAGGGCATGTTTTATTCAGCACTTTAACAACAAATACTTATGAATGCCCACTGAAATTATTACATAATGTTATATAAACGTCTAAATGCATATTTTTATGTTACTACCATTGTTGTTCTTGTCTTCCACAAATAAAAAGGAATTACCTTCCTGGCATGAGGATTTTGTTGCATAAATCTGTGTGAAGACTTAACATTACGCGAAGCATCATAATGATAAAAAGAAATTAGCCCAACCTCTTTTTGCTCACGCCTTATTCTCTAATTGAAAGAAGTTTCCGAACTTCATTAGCATCTGACAGCACTCTGAAGCAAGTCCCAGATTACCCCAGCAAGTGAATGGGTCTCACAGTATTGCCAGTACCCCTTGCTTTAATCTCTCCCTGTTTGAGTAAATTTCTGCCCTGTGACTGAAACATCTTTTTCAACATCTACTATGTGGAAGGCACAGTAAGCTTAGTGGTGCTGATCCTTTTTTTGTTTGCTGTTGGGACCCACAGTTGAAGAAACATTGTTATATTAGGCTTTACAATTAGGATATGACCTTCATTCCTTAAGAGGAAGAGTTGTAAAATGAGTCCCATGGGCTTTGTTGTGGTGCATATATGAATCTTATTGTTAAATACTTAAGGACATTATGAAAAGCATGTGGGTTTATTTCTAAATACCTAGAGAAGACAGGTGATGTTAGCACTTCTGTAGTAAACTGACAGGACAGATGACCTTTGATTTTATTTGTAGAATATCCATCCCCTTACCGCTTGTGAGCATTGTGTATAATGTAAAAATCTCAGTTTCAACCCGGCCTTTTCTGTTCTAATATAACAGGCAACAAACAAACATTTTTATGCATGAGCATTTGCCGTTTTCTACGTTATTTATTGCCTTGTATTTCTGATCAGGTTAACAGAGCATATTCCTTCTGGGTCCTTAAAATTGTGCTTAGTTATGTCAGTAATGACAGGGGAATTTTTATTTCTAGATTTTCAAATTACTTCCTTCTGTACAATTTCTGTTTTCTATGTGTCTTCTCAAAACGTAGTTAAGGGCTTTGTAAATTTTTTCTTTACTGGCTAAGTTGAGGCTGTGAGCTGAGGGGAAGAGACTGGACCTTTGAGAAGCCCTTTCCCTAAACATTAATAGAACTCCAGGTCACCAGTGCCAGAATCACAAATAAATCGCCCTCATCAGATAGAAGTTAAAAGAAAAGAATGAGCACCAAAATAAACCCAGGATAAAGAGCAGAGAGGGCCTCATACTCATAGTAGCTGGGGTCCCTGAAATCCATGTCATCAAATGGGTCTCCCTGAAAGGTTGGCTTGGCTTGGGAAGCACTTCGTTGATTATCATGGAAAAACCAAAACTGTCTTGTGCTAAGATCATAGAATGCCTTCCTTCCCTACACCCCAAAACTAATGATTGTCCAAAGCAAGGTTAACCTTGGCTTTCTCTAGAGCTCATGGACAGAAGGAAGACTCCTACTTTTTTTTTTTTTTTGATTTTTGGTGGTACTGGGGATAGAATCCAAGGCCTCATGCATGCTAGGCCAGCCCTCTATTACTGAGTAACGGGCATCCCTAGTCCTTCTTACTTCTGTTTATTTTGAGACAGGGTCTCATTAACTTGCCCAGGTTTACATCACACTTGGAATCCTCCTGTCACAGTCTTCTAAGTAGCTGGGATTTTAGATCTCTTTGAAAAGCACCAGTTACTTCCTACAGACATAATACCACATCAGTACTATTTACCATAAGAGACGTTTGGTGTTTTTCCTGTTTTTTGTGTGGAAACAAAAGTAACTCCAAGTTTTAAACTGTTTAACCCAAACAATTTCCTTTTTTGTAAAATGTGATCAACACTGAGAGTGCTGTGGCATTGCAGATCCTGTGAAGCCGCACGGCACCTCCTTACAAGCACCTGCTGATCCAGCTTTCGCTATAAATGCGGCAGCGTCCTGCACCCAGGCAGAGCCAGCCTCTGCTGCTCTACCTCCTCCATACCAGCTCATCAGCCTCCCACCACACCCGGAAGCTCTTGGCATCCAGGATGATCCTCAAGACTACCTCTTGCTGATCAACTGTCAAAGCAAGAAGCCCGAACCCACCAGGTAAATTGTGTCTGTGTTTTGAACCTTGATTGAAGCCTCCCACCCTCTATGTGAGCTTAGGTTGCAAGCTTATATTTTAGATTTCAATTCCTCTATTAATGATTGCTAATTAATATGCAGGAGATTTTTTAATTAAAGACACGTAATCTCTGCTGCTTTGGGAAGAGAAAAGTTATAACCCACCAGGCTCTTTTGGAAATCTGGCTACTGTTTCACACTTTGTTACAGACTCACAGTATTACTTGCCTAACCGATTTCACTGATTTATAAATGGTGATCTTGCTCCATTTCTTATGTGATTGTAAACCAGCCAAGGGTCATCTTTTGTTTCTGAAGAAGGAGAGGAATACCTACTACTAGAAGATTTTGAAAGCAAAACGATTCCATTGCAGTGAGTGTGTTGTAGTTGTTTTGGATCTGTGTGAGAAATTAATCATACAGGTAAAATCCCAATATGGCAGATTCTATTGAATATACAGATTGCATTTTAGTGAAATTTGATAAAAATCAAATACACAGTTAAAAGCTATGCAACTTTCAATTGTATACCTAGCCATGAACCAGCACTTACCCCAAGCTTTGATTTTTTTATTTTCTCATACACTTCGTTCTGCTTAAAAATTTGTAGTGCATTGCTTGACTAAAGGGGCCATAAGGCCTTTCCTAAACCCTTGGTACCTTGCTGTCTCCTTCCCTGTTGTCATGTAAACCATAAGAAGTTTTACCTTAATCATCCTTGACATTTAACGTTGAGTAGTTAGAAGGCTTAAACAACAGAAGGAGTTGGAGATTATTGTTTTACTATTTAAAAAAGAAGCAGGAAAATGTTCAACAGGCTAGTTTAAGCCACTAACAGCCATGTGACCATTAGTGATATTGATAGCAGTTGGGTGTGTTTACTTACAATGTGAAAGTGGAGGAGAACTGGATATTGCACATGAATGATTATTTTTCTGATAACTGGGATCAAACCCAAGGCTTTCACACTGAATTATATTCCCAGCCCTTTTTGTTGTTGTTGTTGTTGTTATTATGATTATGATTATGATTATTATTATTACTACTACTATTACTGCTACTTTTTTGGAGACAGGATCTGACCAAATTGTGTAGGCTGGGCTCAGTCTTGTGATCTCCTTCCTCAGCCTCCCAGAATGCTGGGATTATAGGCATGCATCATTACATTTGACAGAAAGATTTTTTTTTTAATATCTGATTACTTTTACAGCAAAATAGTTTTTTTAATGTTAGAAGTAATTGTTACTGAGCTAGGATCAGACGTGGCCCTTGTTAAAAATTTTTTTACATAGAATTTACTAAGTAATTTCTATACATATAATTTGTACATATTTTATGTATATTTTTATACATAGAATATAGTAAGTAATTTCCATGATCCATTCCTAAAGATGATGGACACACTGCATACATTCCAAAGTTGTCTTTCTGTATATTTGTTGTAATGGGATTTTACCTGTAAGAGCAAGAAAATTATATAAATCAACACTAGTTAATAATACCAAATCCTAACTTGATTGTGCTTGTTTGCTGTGAGTACTTTAAAATTACACACTTGCAACTTTGTTATCTGTGCTACTAACTAAGATTTTATTTTCCAATATCATTTTTAAAAGCCAATAGTGAAGTGACAGTTTTTCAGTACATTTTTCAATACATTTGCCTTTTATGTCGTGTTTTCCATTGATTTCATTGGTATCATAGCTTTCCTTGTGCAGTAGAAATTAAGTTCAAAATTATTACCCAGATATATTTTGTCATTTATATTTTCCTGAAGTGACAGTTAAATAACAAGTATTTATAAAGTATGTACCATGTTCCCACTATTATGCTAGGTTCTGTGAAGGTACAAACTAATTGTTTAACATACAGTCCCCTCAGAGACAGTTGCCTGTGGAGTTTGCAAGTGAGGCTCATTAAGATCTCACCAAATACAAGCATAAAATACTTAATGCTTGCACAATAGGTGATTGCTGCCTTGCAAACTCCTGTTCATTCAAAAAGACAGCTCCTATAGGAAACATTTCCCCAAACTTGTAGTTGGATTAAATGTCTCTCCAGGCTTTTATAGCATGGTGATTGTGCCTCTGTATATCTCTTTTGTTGCAGTATTAAAAATAGCTTGATAGTTTTACTTATTCTCCAGTAAACTCTAAGCTAGTTAGAGCAGGAAGCTTCTCTTGTTACGCATTATACCCCTACTCTTAGCTTCTGCATTTGAATTAAATAAAGTGCGCATTTTAGAGTGTGCGTAGATGATTTAGAAATTCTACCAGGGGACAGTGAAAGTGTTTTTAAGATGGCGAAAGCACTAAGAAGCTTCATGAGAGAGGTAATATTTGAGCCACACTATAAGCAAAGGAGGGGTGTGAATGAACGAGGTGGGAGGAAGACACGGAAGAGGAGAGCCTGCTTAGGAAAAAGTTGTGATTTGAGGAGCAGTGGGACTGCACAGTGGAGCCTGGTTATCGCAGCAGTAGCACCAGTGCAGAGTGTGTTACTCTCTGACCTTGTAGTTTCCACACCCTATAGAGACCTACTAGGCTTCTGTGAGTAGGTGAATAACGTAAAAACTTTATGTTGGGCTGGGGATTTAGCTCAGCGGCACAGCACTTGCCTCGCAAGTGCAAGGTCAAGAGTTTGATTCCCGGTACCGGAAAAAAAAAGAAAAAAAACCTTTATGTTAAAAGTATTGATCTTACAGCAGCATAGTCCCATGGATAGATCAGAAAAGGGAGGCACTAGAGTAAAACGCAGTTAGGAAAGTTAAGGACTGTAGATGTCACCTGAGACATGGACTTGAACTTGGAGTGGTGGTGGTGGGTAGGAAGGACTTGGGACTCAGTACCTTAGTGATAGTGGGGGTCAAAGCGAGGATCAAGTTCACTGGATTTTGAGCCTAGAGAATGTAGAGAAAGGCATTTCTGTGGTTGGAAGTCAGGAAGAACAATCAGGTTAAGTTGGGTTTGGCTTGGGACATATAGGCAAGGTCATACAGGCACAAATAACCAAGTAGAAATAACCAGTTTGAAACAGTGGTACTCACAGTTTGGTGAGAAGATGACCATTATGCACATTCAGAGAAGAAGGCGAAGGGATGAGAAAGGAGGGTTCTGTAGTGCCATAAGTAGTAAAGGGCCAGGTAGTGGAGAGATGGGAGAGAGCTAGTCATTGATAAAAGAGAATAATGGAGAAGGAGAAGGAAAATCAGGACAGTACAGTATGGTCCTCCGGTACCAAAGGGGGAGTCTTTGCAGAAGCAATGAAGTGCCAAATACTACCAAAGAGTCAGAAAGGATAAGCCCGTGAAAGCAACTATCACAAGTTATTTAAAGAAATACATGTTTCAATTCCTACAGGAGTTTGGACAACATGTCTAGGTAGTTCTGCTATCTTGTTTATCACTAAGGAAATGAGTGTGCTAGTATTGTTAGCTTTCTCTTGGCTAACACTAAAATTTTATGATTCCTCAAAATGAAGACACTGAAAACATACTCCAAGTCAAAATATTCCCACGTGAGATTTCTCAAAGTTAGTTATTGTTTCAAGTTGATTAACTCTATGCCATGTATTTTGATCCTCCAGCATAGACTAAGTGTTTGTTACAGAAAATCAGTAGAGGGGAAGAGGCATGAAACCTATTAACTTGTTAACACTTCGTATGTCATATTGAATTTACCCACTTCCGGGTAATCATTTGACTTTTAGTGTTGCAGAACTACAGATTTGTCAGAGGCAGGTTAAACAGCAATGGATAAACTTTATAAACTAGACTGGTACCAAGTTTTTGCATGCTCTTCATAGGAGATGATTTTTCTTGTTGTCTACACCTTCTTCATTTTACTTTCCCAGAGTTTTGTAATATCTAATTCTAGTGCCTCGGGGTTATGGTTTTTATGTGTGGATCTCCTTGGTAGAATTGGTGGTGTGAGCAGGTACAGGACAAGAATTCAAACGCTTCTGGTGGTTTGTGGTGGTGGTTTTGTTGTCTGGTGCACAATCATAAAAAAAACTAAAAGAACATTTATGTTTTAAATCTTATGGATCACACAAAAATTCTCATGGAGAAAACATAGATTTTGATTGCTAAGCTATAAATATGCTTACCAAAATTTTATGATGTCTTGACCATGTTTTATTTTGTCATTAACAATTTTTACTCAGAACCCATGCTGATTCTGCAAAATCCACCTCGTCTGAAACAGACTGCAATGATAACGTCCCTACTCATAAAAATCCTGCTTCCTCCCAGAGCAAACATGGAGTGAATGGCTTTTTTCAGCAGCAAATGATGTATGACTCTCTGCCATCACGTGCTACATCTGTCTCTGTAGACTCCAGCCTTTATAACCTTCCCAGGAGTTATTCCCACGATGTTTTGCCAAAGGAGTCTCCATCAAGTACCGAAGCTGATGGAGAACTCTATGTTTTTAACACCCCTTCTGGGACATCAAGCATAGAGACTCAAATGAGGCATGTATCTATTAGTTATGACATTCCTCCAACACCTGGTAATACTTACCAGATTCCACGAACATTTCCAGAAGGAACCTTGGGACAGACATCAAAGCTCGATGCTATTCCAGATATTCCCCCACCTCGGCCACCGAAACCCCATCCAACTCATGACCGTTCTCCTGTGGAAATGTGTAGTATCCCACATGCAGCCTTAGACACTGATAGTAGTTACTGCATTCCTACAGCAGGAATGCCACCATCACGAAGCAATACCATTTCCACCGTGGATTTGAACAAATTACGAAAAGGTCAGCTCCTGTCTGCTTCTACTCTATTAGAGGCTAGTGATGGAATAATTGTTCTGATGTTCAACGGGAGCCCTTTTTTCCTTTAGCTCTGCAGTTACCTACTCATGCAGCCAAGATATTAAAGGCTTAGTAGATACCTGCCAAGGTTGTGTGTGTGTGTGTATGCTTGTATGTGTGTGCACGTGTTTTTGTGTGGATGTATGTGTGCATTTGTGTATGTGTGAATGCGTGCTGTAGTGGAAGGGAGAGAGTAGCGTTTCTCATTCCTAAAGAGGTATGGCCTTTGTAATGCCTTCTTCCTGCCTCAGGAAAGATGTACCTTTCTCCCACTTTCTATAAATCCTGGGTGGACAGGCTCTCTGTTGTACAGAGGAGCAGGAAACGGACCAGCCACAAAGCCTCTCCTAGTCATACCCTTTCCTGTATTTGTATGTCGTTATGGCCACATCTGTGTCACATCTGTTGGGCTCTGTTTCCTTCCTTCCTACATAAGCAATTTTTATGTTGTGTCTAACAGGTGATAATTCTGTTCCAATCAAGCCATTATTCTTTTTGCTTGTTGGATTATTTTTAAAGCCTTGAGTCTTTTCTCTTTTCACTAGTTATTGCTAATGGGTTTACTTTTCTTATCCCATCTCCTAGAGCCTACAATCAAAAGTTAACAACCTCGAGAGGGGGAGAAAGTGTGGATTATTTTCTAAAGTTCTTAAAGTCCTAAATATAGAGAGCCGAAGTTCCTAAGGCACATGTCCTAAAAAAAAGCCTGTGTTAAAATGTCTGTCTTTTGTTGTAGTTTTCTGGCTTATAACCCAGAGGATTGTTTGGTTTTGTTTGTTATTTCCCCATACTGGGGATTTGACTCAGGGCTTTGGATGTGCTAGCCAAGCACTGAACCACTGAGCTACATCCCTAGTCTTTCTGGCTATCTTAAGATGAAAATTTACTGTAGCTTTAATAATATTCTATCAGAAACTGATTTAACTTCAACATCAATTTCTTAGTCTCTTCTTAAAGTGACTATATAACCTGGTTATGAATTGGTAAGATGGAAGTTAAACCCATGGTAGTGAAAAAGAGAAAATCGGAGGTACTATTTCTCATCTCCATCTTTATATTTATACCCTGTATCATCACAGGCCTAGAAATTCACTTTGTTCCATAATCAGATATTGCTATTGGCTAGCATATGAGTGTACATCTGCATTTTATAGTGGTTCTATGTACCAAGTTCAGATACTATTATTCAGTGATCATTCTTTTCAGCAGTGTGTGTGTGTGTGTGTGTGTGTGTATGCATGCAGTTATGTGTGTAAAGGGAGAAGGAGAATAGGTCGTTTGTGATTACCTCGAGAACCTGCAAAGGTGGAAAGAAATGCTGATGGTTTGTTCTTTATTCTAGATGCTTGTTCTCAAGACTGCTATGATATTCCACGAACATTTCCAAGTGATAGATCTAGTTCACTTGAAGGCTTCCATAACCACTTTGTAAGTATAATTGATCTTGACATTGTCGAGAGTATTTCATTGTCAAAATTTTCACGCTTATTAGCTTGAGACTAAACGAGATGATGAAGTGAAAGTACCTCCAGATTCATATGGATGGTGGTGAGAATTGTATTTTCATGTTTGACAGCAGTTTTTGTTTCTTACAAGAAATGTATGTGTGTTTTAGAAAATCAAAAATGTGCTGACAGTGGGAAGTGTCTCAAGTGAAGAGCTAGACGAAAACTACGTCCCAATGAATCCCAACTCGCCACCACGACAACATTCCAGCAGTTTCACGGAACCAATTCAGGAAGCAAATTATGTGCCAATGACGCCAGGGACATTTGATTTTTCTGCATTTGGAATGCAAGTCCCCCCTCCTGCTCATATGGGCTTCAGGTCTAGCCCAAAGACCCCTCCCAGAAGGCCAGTCCCTGTTGCAGACTGTGAACCACCCCCCGTGGATAGGAACCTCAAGCCAGACAGGAAAGGTAAGGAGGACACAGCAAAGAAAGGATTGGGAGAGTGTGGAAAGTCGAATCTGCATTTACCTGTCACTAAACAGAAACCTGATTGCAGACTGGAAACGCCAACATATTCCCTGTTACTTTGGTTATCAATTTAAGATAGCAGTACGGCTATTTATAGGTTAAAAAAGATGACATGTCGATGCCCAGGTGAGATTGCAAAGTAAAACTACCTACAAGGATTAGCAAGCATCAGGGAGAATTAGCAGAAATGGTATGCTTGCCCCATCTAAGTGGAGTAACTCACTCCTGCTCTGCTGTGATCTTTGTTGACTGTGAAACCATGGGCTCACGTAGTCAGACGAGTGAGAAATATGAGATTCTATAGGTGTTAGCTCTTGAGTTTTAAAATTCTGTCAACTCATTTATTTTTTAAAAAAACACTGATACTTCTGCAAAGTTGATGTGGCCTTCCATTGCTATTTTGTAACCTTGTTTCCAGAGTATATGTTATCAAAGCACATACAAAATAATTAATATACTGAACATAATTATTTAAAAATAATGAGAATGTTGGTATAATCTTTTCCATTTACTTGTAAAACAACTTTTTTATTTTAAAGAGAGTAAAAAATAAAAAGGAACGTTGAAAATGATAGAGAATTTCAAAACAAGATGATAGGAAATCAACAGTGGTTGTTATATTGCATATTGTTATCTTCAGAGTAGTTGTTCAAATTCAGCTAACAGACATGCAAAATTGATCAAAAAAATTGATCATTAACTGTTCCTTTTAATAAACCAATTTAAATTTGTAGTACAATTATGTTAGCTATATTGTATATGTATATATATATAATTTTTTCCCTTCTTTCTTTCTTTTCTTTCTCCTTTCCCTCATCCCATTGTTCCTTCCCTTTGAGCGGTTTCTTTCCCTTTCACAATATCTACTGTACCTTTTGGATTTTGTTTATTCTTTCAGTTTTTTACACTAGGGAGACAATACAATGTTTACACATGTGGGTCTGATTTATTTCACTTCTGAGTATGGTTTTTAGTTGCATCCATTTTATCTATAAAAGCCTTGAGTTTATCTTTCTTTATAGGTGAGTAATACTCCATTGTATAAAAATACCACATCTTTTTTATCCATTCCTCAGTTGATGGGCATTTGGGTTGTGTAAAACAACTTTTTAAAAAAATATTTTGCCTTGACTGGGGAATGAATAATGCTTATAATCTGTCTGACATAATGGATTTCCTACATAATACTGTGTTATAAAGGAGCATGGCTTGTTAAGAACTTTCTGTAAAAGGAACTTTTCAGACAACTTATGTTTTAAAATTTGGGTTTAAGTCACCTACATACAGACAACTGTGGTGTTGCAGTGTGCTGTTAGTGGAGCTTAATCTTGACAACCAAGTAAATCAAGTGGGACGGTTTCAGGCTCACTGTACGGATTTCAGCATTTTTGAAAAGTCTCATGTGTTGTAAGCAGCTTGTTAAGAACTTGTGATGTTCATGTATATTTCTCATTTAGTTCAGGCTTGGATCATTCATACTAATCCTGAGTACTAAGTTCCGGTTGTTGGGGACAGAGACTGAGGCTCAGCCTGTCTTAAGGAAAAGGGTTTGATTTGATTTTTTAATGAGTCAGGATGTACCTGTGCCGAAACAAGAGCACGAGCAGAAACAGGCCGTCCCATGGGACCGTTACAGTGTCTTGTTCTCTCTCTCTTTCTTTCTCTCGCCCTTTTCTTTCTCTCGCCCTTTTCTTTCTCTCCCCACCTTTGTCTTGTGGGAAGTCCTCGCTTTGTTCTCTTTCACACTTCTCGTCTTTTCTGTTTTCTTCTGCTTTGTGTCCTCTAAGTGGGTTTTTGCTTGCTGAGCATTTCGTCCTACAGTTCCCTCTGTGGTCTTAATTCAGCCTCTTGGCTTCTTTCTACAAACCCTTGAAGCTTCTTTCTTCAAACCCTTGCGGCTTCCTTGCCAGCTTCTAATCGCCTCATGCATTGTTTATTTGCTTCAGCTTCAGATTGCTTGGAGACGGTTTGATTGGTCTAATTAGGCTTTTCCCCCAGGTCACGTGATGGGTTGTAGGCTGCTGTTGGGTTATATGTCTACCTTTGGTCCCACAACTAGCAAGAGACATGTGTCACACCCATAGCCACCCAGGGTTCCCCCAGCAGCAGGGCTGCCACCAGGCTTCTTCTTTTATAATGTTTCCTTTTGCTTCTCTTTATCTTCATTTATCTCTAACTCCATTTTAGGCATCATTAGTCACTTTCTTCCTAGCATACAGTATGTAATAGTGTGTCTGGATATGTATATATTTATAATCAGTTTACAGATCACCAAAGGATAGAGATGCAAATGCCATGAACTCTGAAATATTTAAAAATATTAAATTGGCACTTTTCTTATTTTTCTGTAATTCATGTTAGCAGCTGATCTCTATTATTTTGTCTGTTTTTTAACCCCAAACTTCACAGTTTTGTATCTTGAGGTCTCACATAAATGCGGAAGTGGCACAGTTTGGAGAAGGATATAAGCCTGTGTTTGCTGCAGCTCACATGTCCCATATTACTATCCATCATTTTGTGTAGATATCTTATACTGTAGCTCATAAATATTACATGATGGATAATTATGCTTCTATGTCAATACAGAAGAAGTATTATGTAGTTTAGTACATGAGGGATTAATTGTCCTAGTTAATAACCTGAAGTGACTTTATAGTAGAATAGATCAGTATAGGCTCTTGGTCATTTGGAGATTATGTTCATTCCTTTAAAAAGTAAGCTTAACTGGTGGGGAAAAGGGGTTGAGGGAATAGTTGAGCAGTAGCGTACTTGCCTAGCATAATAAGGCTCTGGGTATAATCCCCAGCACCATACATATACATATACAAATATAAATACATACACACACAGATCAGTTGAACTGTTCAGAGACCATCCTGAGCTAATTGGTCAGATTATTTGTTGGGTATATTTGCTTAGATACAAACTGAAGTGAGAAAGAGGACCCAGGATGAAATACTCACATAGTTATCGGCAAAATCAAGAACAGTTTTAGCAAGACTGTAAAGAGTTTACCAGAACCATAGTACATATTGTAAAAAAGGATTGGGCTTTTTTTTTTTTTTTTTTTTTTAGTACTAATATACTTTTAAATAAATGTATAGGAGAGGAGGCAGGAGAAAATATTTAGGACAAACTTTACCAGCTTATTTTGGAAAATTATAGCTGTTCAAAAACACATAGACTAAAGCCTGGAATCATACCATAAAACCAGGTTTATTCTTTAAAACATAAACTGTAAAAGATGTCTTATTTGACCATGAAATTCTTTTCATTAGTCATAGCGTCAGATAAATTTTTTAATTTCAAGTTCTGTGACATCAGATGATCACAATCGGTTATTTCAATATCTCTTATGAACTAAAACTCAAGAAACTTCTGTGAAATATGGCTTGATTAGTGTCGAGCCTCATACAACTCATTCAACACCCAGTATAACTGGTAGAAGGGTCTACAACAAACAAGTGACATTCTAGTCTTGTTTATACTTACGGTTTTAGACATCAGCTGCTGTAGACTGCAGTACAGATGAGCTTTTCAAATACGTCTGAGTAACTGAAGCTGCAGAAATACATAGATGCTCTGAATGCTGACACCTAATGTATTATCAAAGACCTTTTTGCCTACCACTTGGTTTGCAATAGGTCTATTTTCACCATCCTATCTGTGTCACTATTGTAATTGTTTTGAACCAGAGTTTGCATATATTAAGAGGAGAACCTTTTAAGCGTGGTATGACGTATTTGGAAAGCAGAGAAGTCACTGGAAATCCAGGACAGGTTATATTTTGACTACTTCAATTGAAAGTTGTATATTTCTAATGGAAAAGTTATTTTGTAAAATTTGGGGAATTTCTATAAGATATGTTGTGGCGTCTCTAGAAGTGTTGTACACACCTGCCATATTTAATTGCGTACCTTACCTAAGCCCTGCTACCCCCACCCTGTCTTCTAATGTAACATAGCCACTATGTGAACCCCAAATGCTCTCTGTATGTCTCCTTTTGTTTGGGTTTGTCCATTCATGCCTTTCGGTAATATTTGTGAACCTTAGTTTTTGCACTTGTTTTAAAAAGCAGTACAAGGCATCTCTTTTTTACCCTAGTTTGGTTTAAGTATGTTCAGATCTGAGTCCTTACCTGCCAACACCTGGAAGCCCAATCCTAGGCTGTTTCTTCCCTAGATGAGTGTTTTTTAGGGATGTAGTTACTCTAAACATTTTTTTCAAGAGAACCCCCAAAGACGTTTTTGAATGCAATTAAAAATTACCATGCTTTCTTAAAAACCACATCTACACAAAATATATGCTTGGAGGATGAATGAATGATACCAGTAAATATGACTAGATTTTGATGAGCAGGTGTTAAAGTTCGTATCTAAAATCCAGTTTTGGATTAAAATTGTTACGGGGTACATTTTTGTAGCATAGGCTTATTAATATGTGGGTTTTTTTCCTAAGTATTCTTGACATTCAAGTATGATCATTATGTTATTATATTCCTCTTTGGACAGTGAAACCATGACAGCAATTATAAACATTTTATAGTACTCTTATTTGTTGGAATTAGTAAAAGACAATTTTTTGAAATACTTCTCTTTGTTCTTGATTTTGGTGATACCCACTAGAAATAATAGCATTAGCTATAAAACTTCTGGAAGAGTAAATAATGTAGGTGACATTAAATCTATAATAATACAGAAAACAAAATTTCCATGCCAAGCTGAATTAAATTGAATTAATGTAAGCATTGCAAATTAGTATACTTACTAGTATATATGGATATTTTTTTAAAAAGATTTCATCTGCTTAGGTGAAATGTGAACCTCACATGACTATCTTGGCCATATTTGAGATGACCCACTTTTGAAAAACATCTAGTTGTCCCTTTTCCCTTTTAAAAGACAAACAAGGGCTGGCAATGCAAGAGCCCTAGGTTCAAT